TGTGTGTGTGTGTGTGTGTGTGTGTGTGTGTGTGTGTGTGTGTGTGTGTGTGTGTGTCAACCTCTTATAACTTTTGAACAGTTTGACCGATTTCATCGCGGTTGGTGCCATTCAAAAGGGCTTGACAAAACTTAGATTTTGAATACGATGTGGACCGATTCGGACTGACAGATTTCGAGAAATCTCAAAAAAACTGTGAATAAATTTTTTTTTGAGTGGTTTTGTTTTTAATAACTTTTAAACGAATCTTTCATTCAAAAGTTATTGGGGTTTGAAAATTCAAAAAATAATGTATTATCAAACTTCTATCAGACTTTTGAGCTCGAAGAGGTTAAAAGCACAAAAAAAGCTATCTCTTTGAGCTCGGAAAGTTCTAAACGACACTTAAATGCAATTTACAACAGCATAAGTGCAATTTTAAGCACCCAGGTATGGAATTAGCAGGAAATTGCAGGGATGGCCTTCAGGGTCAACCGTTTTCCTAATTTGTTTTTTCTAAAGATGGTAATTTTAATAAACTTACAAATTTTGTAGTGCCATTTATTTTCTTTTCAGATAAAGTTGTAGCCAGTTTTTCCGCGAATTGTTGTGGTGTTAAACATAATTTTGATTCTTGATCCAGATCAAAGCGAACTTTTTGTTCATAGAATAAATCATTATCTTCGGTAGGAAGATTGAATAGTCGATATAAAAGAAATGATAACTGTAATTGAAATGAATAATATTTAAAAAACGAACATAAAATATTATTTAATGGAATTATTATGAACTATTTTATTAAAGAAAAAAAATTTTGAAACCATGGACATGATTTATTTCAAGCTCAATCATTTTAAATAAAGCAGGAAAAATTTTGCTTTACTTTCTTTTGAATCAAAATATTTTTTTTTAAATATCGTTTGAGTATATTTTTCGACTTACCAAAATGGAACCAACGAGAACGAGTAGCAACTTTATTACTAATTTTATCTTTTCTTTGTGACTTTCCTTTGGAAGGTTTTGGAGGGTTTTATTTATGGACTTCCATTTGTAAAATGAATACAGATTGCTCACACCATAGAAAATGAAAATAGCCACCATAGCTATTATGACTAAAAATGGACCCAGATAAGAGTCGCAAAAGTTTAAGCCTATTTTGATCAGTCTTAATTCTTCACGTGCGTATTTTAAATACGATGGCTCTACTACGAAAAGAAAAAATCTTTCCTTTGCTACAATTCCAGAAGATTTTTTTGATCGACTCTGTGAATGAAAAATAGATGATGAAATGATCATGATAAGTGAATGATTATTGAAAACTTACAAATGGTGGAAAGCTATCAATTTTTAATTCCACGAACGGCATAGACGAATTATCCGCTATTCTTGATGGTTGAAAACAAAATTTTGATTCACCATGACTCTCAGGATAAACAATATCTTTTATATCCTGAGCTTCATTTTTTGAATCGAAACTATTTGATGCAATTTCAGCATGCGAATCAACTATTTGCTGTAATTAATATAAATAGACTTGATAAAATGATTTAAAAAAATCATAATGCGATCCCTGAATAAAAAAAAGTATTGAGACAAAGAAACAACTATTGAAAAGTATTGGATTAACTAGAAAACTAATACTTTTCAATACTTTTTTTTTATCAGGGCATGCTTAACTATTGATTATTGAGGAGCTTCAATCATTGTTGATATCATATAGTAAATATTAAATAACAACAAAATTTGGATTTTCTGGTTGTCCCTGATAAAAAAAGAGTATTGAGACAAAGAAAAAAGTATTGAAAAGTATTGGTTTAACTAGAAAACCAATACTTTTCAATACTTTTTTCTTTGTCTCAATACTTTTTTTTATTCAGGGGTTTAAATCGTAATTTTTATTAGCTGGGTGCACGAGAATACTAGTCTTTATATTTTAATTAATTAATTTATTTTTTATTTACAAATTGTTGTTAATTGTAGAATGTTTTACTTTGGATCCGACAGATAGCGCTGCGATCGCAATGTCGAATAATTAACAATATTTCATTTTAATTCTAGTGTGTCCCAATGCTATGTGTATAAGCATGCAGTCGGAGTCCCCTAAAATTGTATTGATCATTTTTTTTTTCCTAACTTGAACACAATACACCCTTACTTACGTAATAAGTATATGTGTGCGTACCCAGCCGATTGATAAATATTGTTAAATTTTTAATTACTACAGAGTACGTTAAATACTATGACCATGAAATTAATTATTACAATATTCTTGAAATATTTTTTCTTGAGTTGGTTGTCGTACTCTTAAGGCCCAGGTGCTAATTTTACGATGGACAATTTTTTTTTTAATAGTATTTTTCTCTAATTAGTTAAAGTTAGTTTGAATTTATTAAAAATTTTTTTTTCGTTAATTATTGTACTTTACTTGATTTAAGGCAGCGATTAAATGATGAGCTGATTTTCAAAAGGGTATCTTTTCGTATTTTAAAAAAAGAAGTTTTTTGAACTTTTAAATATTAATTACTATGAGAACTATAAAGATTTCTAAATGAAAATCGAATTGTAGCTTGATAACCGATAGCACTTCGTAGCTAAATTTAAAAAGTTCAATAAAAATATTTATAATTGAAGATAACCAGTTTTTTGTCTCGATCAATCAAAAATGAAAAGATATCCTTTTGAAACTCAACTCCTCAAATCTCCTTAAAAAAATTAAATTATTTATTGAGTATAATTTTTTTGACTTACCAAAATACAAAAAGTACCGATTATACAAATTATTGCTTCTTTGTACATTTTTTTATCACTTTTTTTTTAACTCAAACCGCAAAAATGGTTGTTTCGATGAGCAACGTACAGTTGAGTCTAACTAACTGTCGTAGTATAATTTAGAAAATTCTAAATGTCGTTACTGTACAAAATAGTACAGGATGTGTTTGGCCTACCATATTTGGTGTTTGATTATTGATATTTGGTAAATGTAAACATTTCGTTCCATACCGTTCCACACCAAGCAAGTGTATAAAATCATATTTTTAATTTAGCTGTATTTGTTACATTTTATTGTATGGAGACTAGACTATAAAATTGATTTTTTGAAGTTTTTTTTCATATCTTAAAAACTTTTGGAGATTAAGCGCTAAAAATTTACAGATAAGCAGCTTTTAATATATAAAAAAAAATACAATTTCTAAAATTTGGTCATTTGGTACAGAACAATTCAAACATTAGTCTACTGTACCGATAAATTTTTTAAAACGAGGAAGCTTTAGATCAAAACTCGAGTAACGTCAAATTAATTCACCAAAAATGATTCCCGACTCGAGTAATTTTTTGGCTGTGCAATTAATAACACATTAAAAAAATACAATTATTACGGAACGTTAGTTGTAAAGGAAGACATATATATAAGTGTAATAATTAACAATTAGCAGTTTGTTAATCGATATGTTTTTGAATTAATTATTAATTTAATATGGAAATATCTTTTCTCATTATTTATTTATCTATTGAAATTTAATTTTTGATTTTTGGAAAACTTTGAAGTTTAATTGACAAGGTAAAGGTTGCTGTTATTAATTTACTCTGTCGAGAAACAAATACACTTTTTGTGAACTGAGCACGTACTCGGGAGAGACGAACAAGCAAGAATAAGAAGTTTTAGCGGTGAGGAGATATATTTTTCATATATACATATACATAATATATAAAATATATGAAATATTGATGTGGGTACTCGAATAAAAGGTCTCGATAAGTGTAACATCGGGATGAGCTTATATCTTTAAAAATGTCAATAGTTCACGAGATTCAAGGTCATTTCTTAATTATGTATCTTAAGATAGAGCATTTTCGAATACAGCCTAAATAATTATCATCATAAATTGACTTTTGGTGAGAATGATATAAAACCTTGAAGAGGCGAAATTTCAAGTCAAGACCTTCGCAATGACACTAAATTTTACTTTAAAAAAACCGATTTTATCATATGACTATCCTGGCGACAAAATTTCCCTTATTCTGTTAATAATAAAGATAAAAAAGTCATTTACTGAGAAACAATCGATGTAAATCAAGAAAATATTTTAAATTAATTTTGTAATTTTGAATTTTTTTTAAACTTAGTAAATTAATAAATAATTTATAATGAAAAAGATGGAAAATTTTAGCATTACATTTTAGAATGATTTACAAAAAAATAAAAATGTAAAATTATAAAAATTATAAATAAGAAAAAATTTGTAATTATAAAATGTGATGATAAAATTGTAGTTGAAATTATTAGAATTATTTTTCAAAATTAGAAATATTTTTTTCAGAAAATTAAAAATTATTTTTATTTTAAATTTTAGCCGACCTCCACCACAATGCAAGAAATTATTTAATTATTATTAGAAAAAATTATTGGAGTCAAGAAATTATTCAGTCTAAAATCGTTGTGGACAAAGTAAGTTTCCTGCTTTTACTTTATCCAAAACAAGTCCATTTTGGTGAATATTTTCTTGACTTAAATATTCAAATTTATTTTAAGAAAGATCAAAAATCAAAATAAAAGAATTGATAGAACTTATCCTAACCTAATATATATACCATAATGTTCCAATAACGGCTCAAGCTCAGGAAATACCTGAAAAATTAATTCACATATGGCATTCCATATGTTTCTAATTAGAAACCAAGGTAACTCAAAGGGTCCGCCCATTTTTCGGAGACCTATCAGAAACAGTAAAACAAAAAAAAAAGAAAAGCGAAAAGTATCTCGAGAAAAAATATGAAACAAAACGATGGATTGCTTGTTCCATAATTTGCGATTTTCAGAATCGAACTTATCTACTCGGCAGCGCGGGTCACTTGTGAAAGTGTCGTACTAACTCTGGCCATCTAGCGGCAGCGTCGGTACTGCTTTCTCTCGACCATTTAAATATCGCCTTTAAGGTAAACTTTTTTTTAATTGTGCTTTTTTTTAAGATGATTTTTTTTTGTAACTTTTAATATTCAAATTAATTTTTTTTATCATCAAAATTTTTGACGTAAGAAACTTTTCTTGATTCAAGTGAATTTTACCGTTAAAAAATTTTACGAAATAATTAAAAACAAACAAAAAATTTTCTAGATAGTTAAATGTATTTTTTTTTTTTTCAATAAATTTTCTTATTAATGTACACACAGAAAAAAAATTTCTTGACTTGTACATTAATAAAAAAATTAAATTTAATCAAGAGAACAAACTTTGAACCAAGAAAAAATTTTTTAAAAGTTTAATTATTTTAAATCAAGTAAAATTTATTAGATCAGTGTAATTAATAATAAATTTGCAACCTTGCACTCTTGAATTTCTACAAAATAAAAATCAGAGATCATATTTTAATATTTTTGTGGTAAATTAACTTCTTAAAAAAAAAAAATTAGTTAAATTTGAAATAAAAAATTTTCAATCAAGAAAAGAATTTTTTTCTTTGATTTTTAAATAATGAAGATTCGTTCGTGAGATATCGTTGTCGAAAAAAATCGAAAAAAGTTTTTTTTTGTAATAACTCTGAAATTTTTTCTTAGATCAATTTTTTTGTTCAGAATTATTTATAGAGCTCAAAAAACCACATCGATCGCCGCCTACCGCGTGAGAATCAATTGATTTATTAAAAAGTTACAGCAGTTTGAAAATTAGAAAAATCGTGTTTCATCCAATCTTGATAAGACTTTTGAGCTCGAAAAGCTCAAAAGCATAGCAAAGCTATCTCTTTGAGCTCGGAGAGCTCAAGCGCAATTTTAAGCTCTAGGTATGGAATTAGCGGGAAGTTGCAGGGATGCGGCCTTCAGGGTCAACCGTTTTTCTAATTTTTTTTCAAAATTTGAGCAAATTTGGTTTCAATTTCGATAGTTGTTAGTGTCTTTTTCTACCTATGAGTCTTGCTCCAGATACTTGTAGCAAATTCAATTGACAAGTCTTGAACAAGCCTTTTTAAAGAACTTTGGGCCAGATTATAGCTCAAGAATTGTGTAAGAAAATTGATAAAATCTGAAGATGCTTATCGATAAAATAACTATATCAATTCTTGAGAAAGACTGACACCAGAAGCATGCTGAATATACTTGTGCAAGACTCGCTCAAGATCAAATGTGTTTTCTCATGATCGTTCACATCATTCCACCCCTCCTATATATATATATATATATATATATAGATCTGCTCAAGGTCAAATGTTTTCGAATGACCGTTCTTATCATTCTGCCCCTCCTATATTTACTATAGGATCAGTGGATCTCATTCAGCTTAACCTTGTAGAGTATAGACCTACTGGTTTATCGATCAAGACAAAATTATTTTAAAATGAGCACTACTGAATCAATACATCTTCAAGTAGTGGAGGAGAAAAAGTGCTATAAAATATATAACGCATCATGCATCTTGAGCAAATCTTGAGCAAGTCACGCTTCAACATTTGCTGTTAGTTTTTGGTTCACAAATGCTTTAGAAATGAACTAATTACTGAGAATTACGGATTTTGAGCAAATCTTGAGCAAGTCATGGGTAAGTGTCTGTTGTGAGCTTCTGATTCAAAAAATCCGTTAGAAAGTTTTTCAGTGCACCTTGCATTAGACTTGTCTCATATTCTTGCACAAGATGTCTTGAGCTAGTTGTATATAAATCTTGAAGCAGTTCTTTCTACATGAACTTGAGCAAGACCCATGTGTAGAAAAAGAGATTAGCAACTAGGGGTTTTGCTCAAGATACTAGCACCTAAATCTTGCTCAAGCACATGTTACCTGGGTTGTTCTGAGAACTACACTAGTATTTTGATAACCACAATACGTATTTTGACTCATACTTTGTATAAGTACGCGGTCGAATGGGAAACTGCCCGGAGTCTAAGGAATACTACTACTACTACTACCACTACTATTTGTATGAGTACTGATCGAAACAATACTTTTTCAATATAATTTCATATAAAAAAATTATTTTCTTTGAATTTATGTATAAATACGTGTTAATAAATAAAATAATATTTTGTTGAAGTTGACCTTAAAAATATTTGGTAAAGTCTTTAAATATTATTATTGATAGATCCAGTTTCTATAAAATGTATGAACATATGTCTTTTTTCAATTTTAATCATTTCTCATGGTATAATTTCTCAGTAAAAAAATAAAAAAAACAAAACTTGATTTATAAAAATCTAACTGAATTTAATCATTTTTCGAATTTTTGAAAGTTTTCAATTTTAACATAATTGCCATAAGGTAAAAGAGCCCATTAGTGGCACTTTTTCTTTCAATGAAATGATGTTCTACTTGGAATAAAAATGAAAAATTTCTTTACAAATAATATATTCATTATCGAAATTAATGATTTCATTAATTGAATAAGTACCAAAATCAAAGAAAGTGTCAGTAATGGGGTCCCCGCCACTAATGGGGTCTTTTACCCTAGTTATTACCATTTGATCCCTAAAATTCGTCAAAAAAGTTCCTGACTTCTAAAGATACCGAGTTTCAGATTTTTTACTCGATCCAAGAAAAGTTATGAATTCTCAATCATTGCTTAATAAATGTAATATATTTCATTAGATCTACAAAAAATAGTCATAAAATATTGTTACAAATTAATTACAAATAAAAAAATGAAAATTAAACAATAAACGATTTAGTTCGCAATAAGAGTCCTAATAGAATCAACAAATGGTAACACTTCTTTAATGGAACCTTTCTTGGAGTATTAAAAATCAATGAATCCATAAATAGTGAACCCTCTGATAACGGGACATAGTAATAAAAAATGGATCAACCAAATGAGTCTCAGTGTCTTCATGTTGGCTAGCAGAGCTTATATTGCAACACTTTAACTGCTTTTACTTCAAGGATTCATTTATTAATTTATTTCAACATTCTATAAAAATTGATAATTTTACTTCAAAAATTTGATCACGCTAATTTCTGATTATTTTTCTCATCTAATCACACGTCATATTTTTTTTATAAATAAATAAAAATGAAAAATCAATAATATTATTTATTTACTACAAGTTATAAGATTTTATATTTTAAATTAGTTATCACAAAAATACTGTACAGATAATAAAATCAATAACTTTAAAAAATAATAGTAACAACAAACTTACCTTTTTGTTATTTTTATAATTAATGAATTGAAAATAATAGCTTAATTTATCATATTATATAATAATTATATATAACGGAAGAAATTAACGTCGAAACTAAATATTTTTTATTACAAAAAAGTATTACAATACAGTGATTTTTGAATGTTTATAAGATTGCATTTTTATATAAAAAATGACAAAATTTTATGAAAAAAAAAAAAGTTATATAGTATACATATAGAATTAATATTTATATATGATACTGTTACGGAAATATTGAAGTACGTAATTAATTATGTCCTTAATAATAAAGAAAAAGTTTTTATAAACATTGATAAAACTAAGCTTGATTCAGAAAAAAATAAATTTTAAATCAAAAATGCAATTATTAAGAATTGAACTATTTTAAAATCAAGCAAAAAAATTTTTAGAATTTTAAAGTACAATTAACTTTAATAAATAGTTATTTTATATTTCTAAAATTATTTTGCTTTATTTAAACATGGTCTGAAATTTTAAAATTATTTTTTTTTTTTTATAAAATTTAGACATACTTTTACATATGATGTAATACAGTAAAGCGGAAAAGAGTGGGACGATGAATCAATTATTTTTAGAATAGTTATTTTTTGAATATTTACGAGTTTTCTACAAATATTTCTCCCCAAAAGTGGAATACAAATCATAATAGCCGAACGGTAATGTAGCATTACCGAGTGGTGGGTTTTGTTGTAAAATTTCTGATGTAAAAGTTGGCATAGTGCTACGCAAGTTCGGTGGCATCTCAAGTGCTGCATCATCACGCATCTCAGTAGCATTCATTTCGATAAAGGTAATCGCATGTTGTTGCAATATAACTGACTTGTAAAACTGGCCGTTATCATGAATTTTAGATACATTTTCTTTAGTCAACTTGGTAATCAAAATGTATTCGCAAGTTGATTTAACTCTTTCAATTTCATTCACATGCGCAAACTCGAATAATTTTAAAGCGAGTTCAGCGTCTTTTTCAGCTTTATTCATTTTTCCCTTGTAGAAGAACAGAAGCAATTCTTCTATTACATCAGGTTCAGTATCTGGAAATGTAATACTATTTCCATTAGACTCTTTCATGTCAGAAGTCAGCATCTTGTAGAAAACAGGACTTTGCGCAGCAATGATATTCTTATGAGCTTTAAATTCAGTCTTTTCGACTTTAATTACTATGTCATTAAATTCTTCATTGTTATGAAGAATTTTCAATATAGTGCTCACATCTGGATAATACAAGTCTTCCACGAATCCGTTCCAAACGATTGAACAATCCACTATTACTGTATATTTGTGTCCGTCCGCACTTGGTACACACGCAAAATTGTGATTTTTAGGACATGCATCAGAACTAATACCGATTTCTAGTGTTATTATTGAAACAGATTTTCGTTGATCGTCCTTTTTTATTGTAACGTCTATGGTCTTTGTATCAATATATATTCGCGTGTTAATCTTGAATTTTATACCAGGAATTTTGGTTGTTGCAAATTCAGGTGATTTCTGCAACCCGCTCTTTTTCGTGAGATTTAAGAAAGAATGGTTGAATTTATACCCATTTTTTGGTTCAGACGCTGGGCATCCACTGTTAACGCCGAATACGGCTCTCGGGTCGGGAAAACCCGGCGGTGCTGAAAAAAATACAAGAATATTTCAGCTACTATTATCCTCTGATTACAGAAGGGTTTATATGATCAATTATTAAAATTCAGAAAGGATTAATAGTATTTTATGATTTGGAACTATCGAAAAATTAGTTTTTTTTAATCCTATCAAATTATTTTGTTCAATCAGAAATAAGCTGAGATCTTGATAATTGTAATTAATTAAGAAAAGCAATTGGATTTTCATATAAACTCTTAGCGATTCAAATGCCAAAAGGACATTAAATTTGAAATTTTGACAAATGTTCTTATTTAAAAAAAAAAAAAATTGGTATCTTAAATGATTTTAGAATTTTTAAAAAAGGAAATAACTATTTTTTTATTTGTATTTAATAAAATAAAAATAAAGAATTCATTCGGGAAGGAGTGAATCAGTTGAAAACTAATCACTTCGCTTACTCCACACATTTGACAAGTTTTTATAATATGACATTAAAGTTAACTGTCACTTGATTTATTTTTAACTTTATTTAACAATTAAATTAATTCTAAAAATTTATTTATTAATAATTGCGTTTTTAATTTTTTTAAATTTCTACATGTCAATTTTTTTATATTTTTTTTGCTATAATTTATTTGTTAAAAAGATTCTAAAAATTATCAAATTTCTGCTAACTTTATTATCATTTTTATAATTTAAAAATAAAACTATAAAAGAATAATTTTTCTAAATATGAAATATATTTCAACACCTACACCGCCTGAATATACACTGGTTTTTTTTGACAGTGTATGTAACTGTTGTAAAACGTTCTTTTGGTTTTTTTTACTCAATTTGTTACAAATTAAAAATTTTTTTCCAAAAAAAAAATTGAAATTTAACACACAGTTAAGATTTTTATCAAAAGTATACTTTTAAAGTTTACAACTACTATCTTTATATTAAAAATAACAACTTAAAACATTGGAAAAATTTTTTACTTACGACCAAAGTTTCTTCCAGTGGTGAAGATATTTGCCATAATAATAAATTATTTTTTTGTTTTTTTATATAAAACACTACAATTTTAAACTCTTTAAGGAAATCCTTTCGCTCCAGTTGAGTCAAAACAATTGTAGTAGTCAATATACGATAAATTAAAATAAAAAACCCATAAAAATTCCTAAAATTAAATAACAAATAGTATATGAGGCATTAATCGTTGAAATTTTAGAAATAAAAAAAAAAAATAGTTAAATACAAAAATTAATTTGACTCTTTCAAATCAGTTGCTATTAACCTGTCCGTGATTTGGCAACGCTGTACTTCGATTGTTTACATTTTCATTTGCACAATATAACCTTAAACACGTTCAAGTTTTTGCAGTCAGTGTAAATAAATAAATTAGTTTGAATTTATTGAATGGTCTGAAGCTCGCGCGCTACGCAACGTTGCCAAATATTTTGACTCCATTTTAACGTAGGTTACTTGAGAATTTTTTGTGATTTTTAAATATTAATTTCTCAATAAATATCTCGGTAACTGATATATTTTATTGCAAAAAAAGAAACCTGAATATTTCGAAAATCTAATTTTTAGTTTTTTTTTACTTCATCTAATCCATGACTGATAGTATAATTCGAGAAATACTGCAAACGTCTGACTTTCTCGTAAGACGCTCTGAACAAATACTAACAGCCAACTTCATAGTTCTTCGACGCAGATTACTTTGATATTGACGATAGAATGCAAGAGAATGAGAATGTTAATGTTATCGCCGGACTCACAAAGCTTGCTTCTATTACTTCCAAACAATAACGAAACCTTAGCTTTGTTTTTTTTATTTCATATGTACATATGGTTATGTACATTCAGCGCCTAATGATTGGGCGCATTCAAGTTTACTAAGTTCTCAGCTGGACTGAGCTTAGATTAGTATAATCTCACATAATTTAATCTTTTAATAAGTATTTAAATTAATAAAAACTGAAATTATAAATGTAATAATAAATGAATAATTTAAAAGTAGTATTAAATATTACAATTACTTATAATTGTTTTGATTTATTTTCTTACTATATAAATATAAAATACGCGGGAAAACTCGGAAATTCCTATAGTATTACTGCACCGAGTATAGATCTCATACTAAACTCGGTACTTATTGTTCTGAGAACTACACTAGTATTTTGATAATCACAATGAGCTTGTTCAGCCGAACTAAGTCCTGAGTAAACTTAGTTAGCCTAAGTATAGTCAAAGCATTCCCTGCTATACATATATCTATCTACTATACTATACATATCTTACTAAGTTTACTCAGGACTTAGTTCGGCTGAACACGCTCAATACCTATTATGACTCATACTTTGTATACTGATAAGCACAGTACTTTTTTATGAAAATTAAGCTTTCCGAAATCTAAAAATTTTTATAATTTTTTTTTATTAAAAAAAAAACCACTACAAAATAATAAAAAAAAAATTTCATTTGTAAAAAACTTAAAAAACTGTATCTGCAATTTCTAAAAAATATTTTTTAGTTCTAAATAATTTAATAAAATCAAAATATTAAAAACGTCGGCTAACTTTAGTGTTATTACTTTTCTTCAGTTCAATTCCATATAAAAAAAAAGTTTTTCTCTGAAGTTATGTAAAAATACGTATTAATAAACAAAATATTAAAATCGTAAGAGTGTAAAATTTAAAAGATTCAATAAAATTCCGAGAATGAAGTTTAAAGTATTTTAGAGAGACGAAAAAATATGAACGTGACAAATATAAAGATGCGAAAAAGAAATGACACTGAAGTTAGCAGACGTCTAAAAATTTTTGTTTTTTTTTTTTTTAATTGAATTACAACTAAAAAGATATTTTTAAAAAATTGCACTTATAGTTTTTCAAGTTTTTAACATGTGATATTTTTTTTTAATTATTTAATTGAAATTTTTTGGATAAAAAAATTTCTAAAAATTTTGAAATATCAGCTAACTTTAGTTTCATGAAAAAAAAATAAGAAAGGGTCAGAATAATGTCTCTTCTCGGAAGTTAGAGTTGAAGTTGACCTTAGAAATATATAATCAAGTCTTTGAATATTATTATTAATAAGTCCAGTTTATATAGATTGTATGAACACATATGTCTTTCTTCAATCTTAATCATTTCTCATGTTATAATTCCTCAGTAAAAAAATAAAAAAAATAAAACTTGATTTATAAAAATCTAACTGAATTTAATAATTTTTCAAATTTTTGAAAGTTTTCAATTTCAACATAATTGTCGTAGTTATTACAATTTGATCCCTAAAATTCATGAAAATAAGTTCCTGACTTCGAAAGATACCGAGTTTCAGATTTTTACTCGATTCAAGGAAAGTTATGAATTTTTCAAAAAAATGGCTTTTTAAAACTTTATACACATTCTCATAAAATTAAACAAAGTTTTACGAAATCACACGTAATTCTAAAAAACTTCCATTAATCACTGATTAATAAATGGAATTTATTATTCATTAGATCTACAGAAGATAATCATAAAATATTGTTACAAATTAATTACAAAAAAAAATGAAAATTAAACAATATACGTTTTAGTTAGAAATAAGAGTCTTAATAGAATCAACAAATGGAAATACTTCATCAATAGAACCCTTCTTGGAGTATTAAAAATCAATAAATCCATAAATAGTGAAGCCTCGGATAACAGGAGATAGTGATAAAAAATGGATCAACCAAATGAGTCTCAGTTTATTCATGTTGGCTAGCGGAGCTTGTATTGCGACACTTTCAAGATTCATTTATTACTTTATTTCAACATTCTATAAAAATTGATAATTTTACTTCAAAAATTTGATCACGCTAATTTCTAATTATTTTTCTTATCTAATTACACATCATATTTTTTTTATAAATAAATAAAATATGAAAAATCAATATTTTATTTATTCACCACAAATTATAAGATTTTGTATTTTGGATAGTTAATATCACAAAAATACTGTACAAATAATAAAAATAAATAACTTTAAAAAATAATAGTAACAACAATAGTATTTTATTAACATGTTATTTTTATTTGTATTTTAATATTGCTATTTGGCCGATAGGCCTTGGCATAAATAAAGTAATCTAAATCTAATCTCACGACAAACTTACCTTTTTGTTATTCTTATAATAAATAAATTCAAAATAATAGCTTAATTTATAATATTATATAATAATTATAGATAACGGAAGAAATTAACGTCAAAACTAAATAATTTTTATTACAAAAAAGTATTACAATACAGTGATTTACAAATGTTTATAAGACTACATTTTTATATAAATAATGACAAAATTTTATAAATAGAAAAAAAATTATATAGTATACATATAAAATTAATATTTATATGATATTATATATGTATACTATACTTTCACGAAAAAATTGAAGTACGTTATTAATTATGTCCTAAATAATAAAGAAGAAAAAGTTTTTATAAACATTGATAAAAATAAACTTGATTCAGAAAAAAATAAATTTAAAATCAAAAATATAATTATTAAGAGTTGAACTATTTTAAAATTAAGCAACAAAATTCTTAGAATTTTTAAGTACAATTAACTTTAATAAATAGTAATTTTATATTTCTAAAATTATTTTGCTTTATTTAAATATGGTCTGAAATTTTAAAATTATTTTTTTTTAATTAAATTTAGACATAACTTTGAATATGATTTAATACAGTAAAGCGGAAAAGAGTGAGACGATGGATCAATTATTTTTAGAATAGTTATTTTTTTGGGTATTTATAGGTTTTCTACAAATATTTCTGCCCAACAGTGGAGTACGAATCATAGCCGAACGATAATTAAGCATTACCGAGTGGTGGGCTTTGTGGTAAAATTTCTGATGTAATAGTTGGCATAGTGCAACTCAAGTTCGGTGGCATCTCAAGTGCTGCATCATCACGCATCTCAGTAGCATTCATTTCGATGAAGGTAATTGCATGTTGTTGCAATATAACTGACTTGTGAAGCTGGCTTTTATCGTGAATTTTGAATACATTTCCTTTAGTCAACTTAGTAATCAAAATGTATTCGCAAGTTGATATAACTCTTTTAATTTCATACATATGCGCAAACTCGAATAATTTTATAGCGAGTTCAGCGTCTTTTTCGGCTTTATCCATTTTTCCTTTGTAAAAGAACAGAAGCAGTTCTTCTATTACATCAGGTTCAGTATCCGGAAATGTAATACTATTTTCTTTGGACTCTTCCATGTCAGAAGTCAGCATTTTGTAGAAAACAGGACTTTGCGCAGCAATGATATTCTTATGAGCTTTAAATTCAGTCTTTTCGACTTTAATTACTAGATCATTAAATTCTTCATTGTTATGAAGAATTTTCAGTATAGTGCTCACATCTGGATAATACAAGTCTTCCACGAATCCGTTCCAAACAATTGAACAATCCACTATTACTGTATATTTGTGTCCGTCCGCACTTGGTACACACACAAAATTGTTATGTTTAGGACATGAATCAGAAGTAATAGGAAGTGGTATGTTATTAAAAAATACTTTCTTTGTCCAATCACAAAAGCGGTCAGTTCTAGTGCTTCCACCGATTTCTAGTGTTATTATTGAAACAGATTTTCGTTGATCGTCCTTTTTTATTGTAACGTCTATGGTCTTTGTATCAATATTTATTTGCGTGTTAATCTTGAATTTTATACCAGGAATTTTGGGTGTTGCAAATTCAGGTGATTTCTGCAACCCGCTCTTTTCCGTGAGGTTTAAGAAAGAATGGTCGAATTTATATACATTTTTTGGTTCTGACGCTGGGCATCCACTGTTAACGCCAAATACGACTCTCAGGTCGGGAAAACCCGGTGGTGCTGAAAAAAATACAAGAATATTTCAGCTACTATTATCCTCTGATTACAGAAGGGTTTATATGATCAATTATTAAAATTCAGAAAGGATTAATAGTATTTTATATGATTTGGAACTATCGAAAAATTAGTTATTTTTAATTTTATCAAATTATTTTGTTCAATCAGAAATAAGCTGAGATCTTGATAATTGTAATTAATTAAGAAAAGCAATTGGATTTTCATATAAACTCTTAGCGATTCAAATGCCAAAAGGACATTAAATTTGAAATTTTGACAAATGTTCTAATTTAAAAAAAAAAAAAATTGGTATCTTAAATGATTTTAGAATTTTTAAAAAAGGAAATAACTATTTTTTTATTTGTATTTAATAAAATAAAAATAAAGAATTCATTCGGGAAGGAGTGAATCAGTTGAAAACTAATCACTTCGCTTACTTCACACATTTGACAAGTTTTTAAAATATGACATTAAAGTTAACTGTCACTTGATTTATTTTTAATTTTATTTAACAATTAAATTAATTCTAAAAAGTTATTTATTAATAATTGCGTTTTTAATTTTTTTAAATTTCTACATGTCAATTTTTTTATATTTTTTTTGCTATAATTTATTTGTTAAAAAGATTCTAAAAATTATCAAATTTCTGCTAACTTTATTATCATTTTTATAATTTAAAAATAAAACTATAAAAGAATAATTTTTCTAAATATGAAATATATTTCAACACCTACACCGCCTGAATATACACTGGTTTTTTTTGACAGTGTATGTAACTGTTGTAAAACGTTCTTTTGGTTTTTTTTACTCGATTTGTTACAAATTAAAAATTTTTTTCCAAAAAAAAAAATTGAAATTTAACACACAGTTAAGATTTTTATCAAAAGTATACTTTTAAAGTTTACAACTACTATCTTTGTATTAAAAATAACAACTTAAAATATTGGAAAAATTTTTTACTTACGACCTAAGTTTCTTCGAATGGGGACGAAATCTTCCATAATATTAAATTATTTTTTTGTTTTTTTATATAAAATACTACAATTTTAAACTCTTTAACTAAGTCAACTTAATAGTTCTTCGACGCAAATACTTTGGCATTGACGAGAGAATGCAAGAGAATGAGAATGTTAATGTTATCGCCGGACTCACAATAAAGCTTGCTTCTATTACTTCCAAACAATAACGAAGCATTTAGTTTTTCTTTTTTCATTTTATATATATGGTTATGTACATTCAGCGCCTAATGATTGGGCGCGTTTAAGTTTACTAAGTTCTCAGCTGGAGTGAGCTTAGATTAGTATAATCTCACATAATTTAATCTTTTAATAAGTATTTAAATTAATAAAAACTGAAATTATAAGTCTAATTATAAATAGATAATTCAGAAGTTGTATTAAAAATTACAATTACTTATAATTGTTTTGATTTATTTTCTTACTATATAAATATAAAATACGCAGGAAAACTCAGAAATTGCTATAGTACCTATATATTGCACAGATGAAAATGAAAATTAATTTAGCAGACATTTTATAAATTAAAAAAAATGAAAATTAAGTTAGCCGACATTTCAAAATTTTTATAAATTTTTTATTAAAAAAACTTAAAAAAAAATTGTCACATGTAAAAAACTTAAAAATCTATAAGTGCAATTTTTTAGAAAAATTTTTTTTAACAAATAAATTATGTCAAAGAAAATGAGAAAAAAAATTGACATTTAGAAAATAAAAAATCCAATTTTATAGAAATAATTTTTTGGAGCAAATTTATTTATTAAAAAAAAATTAAAAAATAGTCAAGTGACTGCTAATTTTACTGTCAACAGATGAAAATTAAATTAGTCGACATTTAAAAATTTTTAGAGTTTTGTTTTTATTGAAAAATTGGTTACAAAAAAATAAAAAAAAATTTCACTTGTTAAAAATTTGAAAAACTATAAGTGAAATTTTTAAAAAATATTTTTTCGTTTTAATTTAATTATTAAAATAATATTAAACAATTAAAAACGTTGGCTAACTTTAGTATCATATTGCACAGAGTATAGATCTTAAACTCGGTATTGTTCTGAGAACTACACTAGTATTTTGATAATCCCAATACCTATTATATGACTCATACTTTGTATACTGATAAGAACAGTACTTTTTTATGAAAATTAAGTTAGCCGAAATCTAAGAATTTTTAGAATTTTGTTTTATTAAGAAAATCATTACAAAATAATAATAAATTTCATTTGTAAAAAACTTGAAAAATTTTTTTTGCAATTTCTAAAAAATATTTTTTAGTTCTAAATAATTTTAAAAAATCAAAATATCAAAAACTTCAGCTAACTTTAGTGTTATTACTTTTCTTCAATTCAATTTTATATAAAAAAAAAAGTTTTTCTCTGAATTTGTGTAAAAATACGTATTAATAAATAAAATATTAAAATCGTAAGAGTAAAATTTAAAAGATTCAATAAAATTCCGAGAATGAAGTTTAAAGTATTTACGAGAAACGAAAAAATATAAACGTGACAAATATAAAGACGCAAAAAAGAAATAACAAAGGGTCAGAATAATGCTTTTTCTCGGAAGTTAGAGTTGAAGTTGACTTTAAAAATACATAATGAAGTCTTTGAATATTATTATTGATAAGTCCAGTTTATATAGAATGTATGAACACATATGTCTTTTTTCAATCTTGATCATTTCTCATGTTATAATTCCTCAGTAAAAAAATAAAAAAAATAAAACTTGATTTATAAAAATCTAACTGAATTTAATAATTTTTCGAATTTTTGAAAGTTTTCAATTTCAACATAATTGTCGTAGTTATTACAATTTGATCCCTAAAATTCATGAAAATAAGTTCCTGACTTCGAAAGATACCGAGTTTCAGATTTTTACTCTATTCAAGGAAAGTTATGAATTTTTCAAAAAAATGGCTTTTTAAAACTTTATACACATTCTCATAAAATTAAACAAAGTTTTACGAAATCACACGTAATTCTAAAAAATTTCCATTAATAACTGATTAATAAATGGAATTTACTTATTCATTAGATCTACAGAAGATAATCATAAAATATTGTTACAAATTAATTACAGAAAAAAATGAAAATTAAACAATATACGTTTTAGTTAGAAATAAGAGTCTTAATAGAATCAACAAATGGAAATACTTCATCAATAGAACCCTTCTTGGAGTATTAAAAATCAATAAATCCATAAATAGTGAAGCCTCGGATAACAGGAGATAGTGATAAAAAATGGATCAACCAAATGAGTCTCAGTTTATTCATGTTGACTAACAGAGCTTGTATTGCGACACTTTCAAGATTCATTTATTACTTTATTTCAACATTCTATAAAAATTGATAATTTTACTTCAAAAATTTGATCACGCTAGTTTCTTTTTTTTATAAATAAATAAAATATGAAAAATCAATATTTTATTTATTCACCACAAATTATAAGATTTTGTATTTTGGATAGTTAATATCACAAAAATACTGTACAAATAATAAAAATAAATAACTTTAAAAAATAATAGTAACAACAATAGTATTTTATTAACATGTTATTTTTATTTGTATTTTAATATTGCTATTTGGCCGATAGGCCTTGGCATAAATAAAGTAATCTAAATCTAATCTCACGACAAACTTACCTTTTTGTTATTCTTATAATAAATAAATTCAAAATAATAGCTTAATTTATAATATTATATAATAATTATAGATAACGTCGAAACTAAATAATTTTTATTACAAAAAAAGTATTACAATACAGTGATTTACAAATGTTTATAAGACTACATTTTTATATAAATAATGACAAAATTTTATAAATAGAAAAAAAATTATATAGTATACATATAAAATTAATATTTATATGATATTATATATGTATACTATACTTTCACGAAAATATTGAAGTACGTTATTAATTATGTCCTAAATAATAAAGAAGAAAAAGTTTTTATAAACATTGATAAAAATAAACTTGATTCAGAAAAAAATAAATTTAAAATCAAAAATATAATTATTAAGAGTTGAACTATTTTAAAATTAAGCAAAAAAATTTTTAGAATTTTTAAGTACAATTAACTTTAATAAATAGTAATTTTATATTTCTAAAACTATTTTGCTTTATTTAAGTATGGTCTGAAATTTTAAAGTTATTTGTTTTGTTAATTAAATTTAGACATAACTTTATATATGATGTAATACAGTAAAGCGAAAAAAAGTGGGATGATGGCTCAATTATTTTTAGAATAATTATTTTTTGAATATTTACGAGTTTTCTACAAACATTTCTGCCCAACAGTGGAGTACGAGTTATAGACGAACGGTAATGTAGCATTACTGAATGGTGTGCTTTGTGGTAAAATTTCTGATGTAAAAGTTGGCATAGTGCAACTCAAGTTCGGTGGCATCTCAAGTGCTGCATCATCACGCATCTCAGTAGCATTCATTTCGATGAAGGTAATCGCATGTTGTCGCAATATAACTGACTTGTAAAGCTGGCCTTTATCATGAATTTTAGATACATTTTCTTTAGTCAACTTAGTAATCAAAATGTATTCGCAAGTTGATATAACTCTTTCAATTTCATACTTATGCGCAAACTCGAATAATTTTAAAGCGAGATCTGCGTCTTTTTCAGCTTTGTCCATTTTTCCCTTGTAGAAGAACAGAAGCAATTCTCCTATTACATCAGGTTCAGTATCTGGAAATGTCATACTATTTTCATTAGACTCTTCCATGTCAGAAGTCAGCATTTTGTAGAAAACAGGACTGTGCGCAGCGATGATATTCTTATGAGCTATAAATTCAGTCTCCTGGACTTTAATCACTATGGGACTACATTCTTCATCGTTATGAAGAATTTCCAGTACAGTACTCACATCTGGATAATACAAGTCTTCCACGAATCCGTTCCAAATTATTGTACAAGTTATTGTTACTGTATATTTATGTCCGTCCGGACTTGGTACACACACAAAATTGTGATTTTTAGGGCATGCATCAGAAGTAATAGGAAGTGGTATGTTCTTAAAAAATACATTCTTTTTCCAATCAAAAAAGCGGTCAGTTCTAGTGGTTCCGCCGATTTTTAATGTTATTATTGAAACAAATTTTCGTGGATTGTCCTTTTTTATTGTAACGTCCATGGTCTTGGTATCAACATTTATTTGCGTGTGAATTTTGAATTTTATACCAGGAATTTTGGGTGTGGCAAATTCAATTGACTTCTGCAACCCGCTCTTTTCTGTGAGGTTAAAGAGAGCATGTTTGAATTTAAATAAGTTTTTTGGATCTGAAGATATGAATACAGTGTCAACGTCGAATGTGGGTCCCGAGTCGGGACGACCCGGTGCTGAAAAAAAGACAAAAATATTTCAGCTACTACTATCCTCTGATTGCAGAAGGGTTTATATGATCAATTGATAAAATTCAGAGAGGATTAATAGTATTTTAAATGATTTGAAACTATTGAAAAATTAGTTTTTTTTAATCCTATCAAATCATTTTGTTTAAGTTAATCAGAAATAAGCTGAGATGTTAGTAATTGTAGTTAACTAAGAACAGCAACTATATATTTTTATATAAACTCTTAGCGTTTTGAATGCCAGGAGGGCATTAAATTTGAAATTTTTACAAATATTTTAATTAAAAAAAAAAAAAAAAAATTAATTAAATTTGGTAAAAAGGGAAATTTTAAATGATTTTATAATTTTTAAAGGAGGAAATAACTATTTTTTTATTTGTATTCAATAAAATAAAAATAAAAAATTCATTCGGGAAGGAGTAAGTCAGTTGAAAACTAATCACTTCGCTTACTCCACACATTTGACAAGTTTTTATAATTTATAAATAAAACTGTGAAAAAAACAATTTTTCTAAATATGAAATATATTTCACCAAAAATTTTTAACACCTACACCCCCTGAATATACACTGATTTTTTTGACAGTGTATCTAACTACTGTAAAACGTTCTTTTGGCATTTTTTACGCCTTTTTCCTACGAATTAAAAATTAAAAAAAAATAAAAAATTGAAATTTAGCACACAGTTAAAGTTTTTATAAAAATTAAAATTTTCGGACATTTGAAAGTTTACAACTACTATCTTTATAATAAAAATAACAATTTAAAACATATTGGAAAAATTTTTTACTTACCACCACCAAGGATGAAATTTTCCATAATAATAACTTATTTTTTTTTTTATATAAAATACTACAATTCTAAACTCTTTAACTAAGCCAACTTAATAGTTCTTCGACGCAGATGACTTTGACATTGAAAATGTTAATGTTATCGCCGGACTCACAAAGCTTGCTTCTATTACTTCCAAACAATAACGAAACCTTAGCTTTGTTTTTTTTATTTCATATGTATCGTTATGTACATTCAGCGCCTATTGATTGGGTGCGTTCAAGTTTACTAAGTTCTTAGCTATATAGACTGAGCTTAGATTAGTATAACTTCACACAATTTAATCTTTTAATAGGTATTTAAATTAATAAAAACTGAAATTATAAATGTAATAATAAATGGATAATTTAGAAGTTGTATTAAAAATTACAATTTTACTTATAATTGTTTTGATTTATTTTCTTACTACATAAATACAAATTATGCGGGAAAAACTCGAAAATTGCTATGGTATTACTGTACAGAGTATAGATCTCTAATTAAACTCGGAATTGTTCTGAGAACTACTCTAGTATTTTGATAATCACAATACCTATTATGACTTATACCTTGTATACTAATAGGAACAGTACTTTTTTATGAAAATTAAGTTAGTCGACATCTAAAAATTTTTAGAATATTTTTTTATTAAAAAAAAATCATTACTGAAGTTTTTCTCTGAATTTATGTATAAATACGTATTAATAAATAAAATATTAAAATCATAAGAGTATAAAATTTAAACAATTCAATGAAATTCCGAGAACGAAGTTTGAAGTATTTTATAAAAATGTAACTGAATTTCATAATTTTTCGAATTTTTGAAAGTTTTCAATTTTAACATAATTGTCATAGTTATTGCATTTTGATCCCTAAAATTCGTGAAACAAAATTCCTGACTTCGAAAGATACTAAGTCTCAGATTTTTTTACTCGGTTGTTGTTGCAATATAACCGAATTGTAAAGCTGGCCTTTATGGTAAATTTTGGATACACTTTTTTTAGTCAACTTAGTAGGAATTTTAAAAAGTCAAGAGGATATTTTAAATAATAGAATAGTAAATGATCTTTTAGCTAATATTGAAACATGTGATAATATAGATGATTCTAATGATATCAATTTTAAGATTGACAATGATAAGAGAATCTCTGACGATTCTAGTTTAATTATTGGCAAGGATCTATGTGATAATAAGAGTAATTATATAGTAAACAGATATATGCTGAGAATAAAAGTATTATTATGATTAAGCCATTGACTGATAGCAATACATCCAATATAACCAAGACGATTGAAGAAATTTGGAATCAACATCTAAGCTGGCCAGAAGTGGGAGAAATAAAAAAAAATTAAAAAAATGAAAAAGAGAAGCTGCCGTTTTCAATAACAGCTCCGAAATGGCGAGAATACCATAAAAAATTGAGACTTGACAAGGAAAAAAAAGAATTAAAAAGTAAAGAAAAAGCTTTGAAACGAAAAATTAAAAAATAAGATGAAATTAAGAAACAGAAAAAGAAAGAAGAAAGAGAAATTAAAGAGAAAAAAGAAAATGCTGAACGAAAGAGAAAATTGAGAGAAGAAAATTTAAAAGAAAAAGAGAACAAACCTATTAAAAGAAAGAAAAAGTCAACATAAAATGTTATTAACGTTGTGTTTTATAAATTTATATTGACTATTTGTTAGTATTCTTTATATTAATATATTTTATGTGTTACTTTGCATAAGAAAGCATTGCGTGTTAAAAAATAATAAAATTACTTTATAATATATTTTGAAAATTACTATCTAACTTATTACCTCTTCTCTTTAATTTTATCAAGCTTTATTTTTTAGTGCAAAAAATCAATAAATTAATTATTACTGATATAAATAATAAATTGAAAATATCGCTAGTGAGAATTGTCCATCTATTGGTATTGACTGTCCATCTATTGGAGATTTTGTCCATCTACTGGTGTTTTGATATTTTTCTTACATTTTTCTTTTTTATTAATTATTACAACACAACGTTTTACGAAGTTTTACTTATTTTTTCCGAGTTAATTATATATTTTTACATAAATATAATTAACTTTATCACAATTTATCTGTATATTACTATATTCCTTTTTAAATTGAATACGAGAGTTTGCTTAACCGTCTATCTATTGGGGTATTTACCCTAATCAAAATGTATTCGTCAACTCGAAAAATTTTAAAGCGAGTTCAGCGTCTTTTTCAGCTTTGTCCATTTTTCCTTTGTAGAAGAAAAGAAGCAGTTCTTCTATTACATCAGTGTCAGTGTCCGGAAATGTAATACTATTTTTTTTGGACTCTTTCATGTCAGAAGTCAGCATTTTGTAGAAAACAGGACTTTGGGCAGCAATGATATTCGTGTGAGCTATAAATTCAGTCTTCTTGACTTTAATTACTATGTCACTAAATTCTTCATTGTTATGAAGAATTTTCAGTATAGTGCTTACATTTGGATAATACAAGTCTTCCACGAATCCGTTCCAAATTATTGTACAAATTATTGGCACTGTATATACGTGACTGCGCTTCGGTTGGGAACAAAAATTTGGAAAATCTTTATATTTACTGCATCCGTAAAAATCAAAAGGAATATTCAAGTCTTTAAAATATAATATATCTTTCCAATCAACAACAACGCGCTTAGTTGAATTTAATCCACCGACCTCTATTTTTATTATTGAAACAGCTTTTCTAATATCGTTTTTTATTACTTTTACGGTCATGTTAGAGTGATAAATTATATCAGCAGAAATCGAAAATTTAACACCTGGAATTTTAGGTGAGTCGAATTCTGGTGAATTTATCGATTTTCTCGTAGTAATATTTGTAAAAAGATGCTTAAATTGAAACAATACATTCTTTCCGTCTTTATTTTCCGTACTCATTTTAAACTAAAAAAAAATATTATTTAATTTTAATTACCCGTGTAAAAAAAACTTGTCATAAAAGAGTCATAAGCTTATGATCCTAAACGTGACACAATTTAGGACACATTTATGACACCCAGCCGAAATGAAATTTGGATTTTAGAAAAATATTGTCGCACTTACTAAAAAAAAAAAAAAAAAATGTTGTAAAGAGTACGTTTATGACAATTTTAGGATACTTTAATGACAATTTTAGGACGCTTTTTGAATTTTATGAGAATTTTAGGACATTTTTATGAATTTCAGGATACTTTTATGACCACTTTAGGACAATTCTATGACAATTTTAGGACACTATTATGAATTTTAGGATACTTTTATGATAATTTTATGACAACTTTAGGACAATTTTATGAAACTTTTATAACAATTTTATGACACTTTCATGACAATTTTAAGAAACTTTTATGAATTTGAGGACACTTTTATGAATTTCATGATACTTTTGTGACAACTGCAGGACAATTTTAAAATTGTCATCAAAGTATCCTTAAATTCACAAGTGTCCTAAAGTTGTCATAAAATTGTCATAAAATTATCCTAATATTCATAAAAGTTTCCGAAAATTGTCTTAGAATTGTCATAAGTAGTCACACAATTGTCATAAAGTAGTCATAAAACTGTCATAAAATTATCCTAATATTCATAAAAGTTTCTTAAAATTGTCATAAAAGTGTCAAAAAAGTTTCATAAAATTGTCCTAAAGTTGTCATAAAATTATCATGAAAGTATCCTAAAATTGTCTCAAGTTGTCATAAAATTATCATGAAAGTATCCTAAAATTCATAATAGTGTCCTAAAATTCTCATAAAAGTATCATAAAATTCATAAAGGCGTCCTAAAATTGTCATAAACGTACTCTACAACATTTTTTTTTTTGAGTAAGTGCGCCAATATTTTTCTAAAATCCAAATTTTATTTCGGCTTGGTGTCATAAAGTTGTCATAAAAGTGTCCTAAATTGTGTCACGTTTAGGATCATAAGCTTATGACTATGACTCTTTTATGACAAGTCTTTTTTACACGGGTATATTTTTACCTAAATAGAAAAATGTAGCTTTTCCAAAGCAGACAAAAATTTTTAACTTACCGATAGTGTTACTGGATTGAAAAATCACAACTTATTTCACATAAAATACTAAAATTTTATAAATTTTTTAAGTCAACTCAACAGTTCTTCAATGCAGCTTACTTTGATACTGACGAGAGAATGAATGTTATCGTCGGACTCACCAAGCTTTCTTACATCACTTCCGGACGACTACTTAAACGTGAAAAAAAAAAAACAAAATCTTGAGTTTTTTTATTTATTTCATATGTATTGTATTCAATCATATTCAGCATATAATGATTAAAATAATGTAAGCTAAAAAATTAAATTTTATTACCTCTTTAGATATTTGATTACATTGTTGCAAAACGGAGTAAAACCAATATCTTCCTTATTTTTTTTTGCGAGAAAACTTTTTTTTTTTTTATGTCGCTTAATGTGACCATTTATTTATTAAGTAAATTGATATGAAGATCTTTACACTAAGAGAAAAATTTTCTTATGGAAAAAATGGGCATTGTTGTAACAAGAAATTAACAAATTGAAAATTTTCATCAATTTTCTTTTTCAGCTAAAAAAACCAAAATTTTTCTTATAGAAACTTTTTTTAACAAAGAAGTTATTGTAAAAAAAATTTTAATTTTTTCAACGAAGAAATTAAATTTTTGAAAATTTTCAAATTAATTTCTTGTCACAATAATGCTTATTATTTCAAAAAGAAATTTTGTTCCTTAGTGTACTTGACAACTAACCAAATTTTTAAACAATAAATAAAATTTAATGATCTTTGATTATTTAAACTCTGATTCTGATAAAAAAAAGTAACTTTTAAGAAAGTAGAAAATAAATAAAATTTTAATAACTTTTTTTAAAGATATTCTTTATTAATCCGAAGCTCAAGGGTTAATTGTACATATAATTATAATCATCTTAATTTATGATAATTAATAATTGAGTATTTACTCGAAAAATTCCCTTGCGCTTCATCTAAACCTATTAATCTATTATAAATATACAATACATATTCGTTTAAATACAATATATATGTTTAACCATATATATGTCATGAACAATGTAGTGAACATTTTATCAATACCAAGTAAAATTAAAAATTATTATTATTGTTAATATATTTTGCGTCGTCCAGCGACATTGTTTGCTATATTTTACGTGCATTATTTTTTATTTATTATCAAAATCCATCAATTTAAAGAACCATAAAGATTTCTTTAAACTGCAGGATTAAATATCAAGACTTTTTTATATAATTATTTACAAGTGGGGTGTCCAATTATGATTGTAAAAATTTTTACAATTAAAACTATTTTTGACTGAGTCATTGTCTGCTTCTTAGAAGCTTAATTGATCAAGATTTTAAGAAAATTTTGGAATTTCTTGCTACAAATCTTTAGAAAAAAAAAATTTCAAGTCCCCACTTATAAATAATGATAAAAGTTAAATTGATTATAGTAATTGTGAAAAGTTATTTTTTAAATAATTATAATCATGATGATGGGCAGTTGTTATTGGCAATAATTGCCCTGCTAACTAAATAATTATTGTTGAAATTGAATAATTAAATGAGCGCTAGGCGATTGAAGCTGATTATTGCTATTGGATGAACAACTGATACAATTGAACTAGAGTAATTATATGATTGAGACGCCCGCGTCTTTACGTATATATTTATATTTATTAATCGATTTATTATCGATTTAAAATTAATTTATTAATAAAATGACAATAGTTAAATACCTATGAGTATATTTAATTTAAAATAATATTCTGTGCGTTTGTGTTTGTTATGAACACACAAAAATAGTTAACGCTAGTTTTTTCTTAAACTATTAATTTTAATATAATAATTGTCAATTATTTTTTTGTAGAGAATTATATTTTCTACACAACACGTCAGTTACGTTATGAGCATAAATTCAATAGTTTAGGAGTTTTAAGCGTTCGTGTCGATAAATATGACAACGTTTCATGTAAAATTTTTTTTGTTGTCATCGATACTAACATTTTTAATAAAATTAAGTGTTATTAACGTCGATGACGATCGACCAGTTGAGTACGGTAAGTAAAATTCTGTTTTACGGAATAAAAAAACAATTTTTCTTTTGTATTTTAAAAATCAAAGTCACGGCAGTTACGATTGAATTTAAAAATTGATCTCCACTTACGGCCGGCGTTCGGAGTTCGTTTTCCATTAAAAGTTTGAAATTTATTAAAAATTTTTTTTGTCGTATATTTACTTATTTACTGACCTATTCGTCAACTAATTCCCAAAGCATGAGAGCTGCGTCAGTACCACCAACAGTTACAACATTCTGGTCATTATACAAAAATCTAGCACATGCGACAAGTGAACTGTAGACTTTTTCTTCTACATATTCAGCTTTCGCGCTAGTACAAGGGAATCTGAAGAGTCTCAAATAACCTTCAGCATCTCCACTCACTAACATGTCGTGAGCTGCTGATCGGCTTGACGTTGTTATTACTGTTGTCAGCGGGTAATATCGATTATTCCACATACCTGAAAAAAGTTTATCATTATTCAAAATTTTTTTATAAAGTATTTTTAACAATGTGATGATGATTACACAATAGTTTTTAGCTCACCAGAAACCATGTAACCAACAGTACAATTGTGAGTGTGCCACTTTACATCCTTCATAACAATTGGACTTTTTTCTGACTGTAGAGCTTTAACATCCCCTAAAAAAAAAAAAAAACGAAAAATTTTAGATGAACTTTGAAAAATAATTATGATTTAAATTTACATTAAAAGTAATTTTTATTTTATTCAAAAAAAGATATTTTTTTAGTTCAAAAAAAAAAATATTGTTTTGAGAAGAAATCAATAAATTATACAAAATTCATTTTAATAAATTTTTAAGCCAAGAAATTCTTGTCTCAACAATATATTTTATCTTTTTATTCAGCGTAGAAACATTCAAGTAAATCAATTTAAAAATACTTTTCATATGGGTGATTCTCTGTAAGGACGTCTTAAATCTGTAAAAAATTATCCGACTAAATTATTTTTGATTTTATTAGAAAAAAAATTAACAAGGGCTACAAAACTATCAGCTTAATCATAATAAATAAACAACCGATTTAATTTTTGCTTTTTCGATATTTGTATGAATGATTACATTAATTAGAATAATATTAAGACTTATGGATCCAATTTTAAAAATAAATTATAAATAAAAATAGTTGCCAGGGGATTGAGTTTTGAAGTGACCCAGACACATATTTCCAGCACAAACGGTGCTTTAACACTAAATAAAATGGCGATAAAACGCTAACAGCCCTATGGTTATTAACTCAAGGCTAGTTAGATCCTTATAAACCTTACAAAGGGTAAAATAACACGCTGGATTTTTTTTTTGGCTTTGAACTTCTGGCAGGGGACTATTCTTAAAATGCCTGGGACAAACTTTGGTTTGATGAATTTAATTAAACAAATTAATTTTCGGTACTTTTTATTGAAGAAGATTGTTAATTAACTAATTAAGTTTATAAACATTATGGACCAAATTATATATTATGGACGAATAACTTAAAATTTAATCTTAAAGTTTTAATTTTGGGAATAGGACAGCCCAGAGGACTGTTATTACGGTGGTTTACGAATTTATAGCAAAAAAACAAAAATTTATTTCATTTTAGTTTTCAATGCTCCAAATAGAAATATTTTTTTACTTTCGTAATAAATTTTTTTTAGTAACAAAATAACAATTTTTCTTATAAATAAAATGGCTGGGACAGCAGAAAACATCCTTACAGAGAATCACCCGTATAAATCAGTCTTGAATTTTCATTTATGAAAATTCAATTTAAGTAAAGTTCGAATGTATACGTTTCAAATTATAGAAATAATTAATTTATGTAGTAATAAGTTTACTAACGAAGAATATAGGTAAAAATTTTGGTAAAATTATTTACAATGTTGGGCGATGTTAAATTTTTTTTTCTTTTTGATCAAATTGATCATTTTTTTTTATTAATTGTTCGTTTTTTTTCTGTACTTTTAAAAAAAAAATAAATCATAAAAAGATAAAATAGAAATTTTATCCAAAAACATGAAAGCCAAAATTTTTTTCAACTTTTAAAGGCAAAAAAGCTATCTAAATCTTTGTTTTTTTCTTTGGCGACATTTTTCATCACAAATGCGCCGTAAAAACACGCAGAATAAAAAAAATTTTTAAATGTTAATTTTTCACCTAGTTACGGCCCAGAATGGGATTGATCCCACTTGTAAATAATTGTCAAAATTTTTCAAACAAAAAAGTTATTTAACAAAACTAGAATAAGAAATGATAAAAAATAAATTTAAAAATAATACACTTACAAAAAACTAAATCATAGTCTTGAGTTACTGTCTGTAAGAATCTACTATCCGAGCTCCAATCCAGTTGGACCAATGGCTGAGTTCCTCGAATTTTGTTGCTTTTTTTGTAAGAAAATCCATCGCGGGACACACGGAATAGATATACACTACCATTTTGTGATCCCATAGCAATAATTTCTCCAGCTAAGCATAAAAAAATAATTAATCATATTATGTTATAAAATTTAGTTGAATTGAGTACGAAGCACTTCATGCAAGCTATCTTACTTGGATTGTATCCAATACACGATAAAGGAGATCCACAGACGCGAAGAGTTGCTACCGCCGCTCCGGTATCGGCTGCAAGAACAAGAAGATGACCTTCAGACGAACCAGCTGCCAAGGCTACACCAAATGGATGAAAAGCTATGCAAATGCACTCAAATCCAACCTAAATAAATATATTAATATTAATCATTTAATTATTAAGATTACAAGATTACAAGGCAAAAATATTCCAAAGAAGAAATAATTTTAAAATTATTACTTGAGTTGTCCAAAGCAATTTGTGCCTTCTCCAAAGTGCGATATTTTTATCATGCCCTGCTGTAGCAAAAACTTCATCATCCGGATGAACAGCAAGCCCCCAAAGTTGTCTTCCGTGTCCAAACACAACTTGATTGAATCGCCGTTGTAAAGATCCTTCAAGGATATTGTTACGTGTTGTTCCGACATATATGTTTCCATCATTTCTTCCAGGTCTCTGAGGGTATATACTTCGTACACCTCCTGATGATTCTGGTAGCTATAATCATTTAAAAACACGTAATTATTTGATGACATTAAAGTTACCAGTCACTTGATCACTTTTTAATATTTTTTAACAAACAAATTTGTTCTAAAAAATTATTTTTAAAAAGTTACATTTTTAATTTTTTACAATTTCTACCTATCAATTGAATCATTTATTTGAGAAACCCCATAAGTCATATTTTTTTCAAAGTCGGGTTTATTGCATTTTTCGGTTCTTTGAATTTCCCCTCACGTATACCAGCACCAAAAAATATTAAATCCATGTTCAAGACCTAACCAATTGTTCGATACAAATCTCGTTTCGTTAAAAAACCCCATAAGTCAGTGTTCGGTGAACAGGCCCACTCAGTGAGCAATACGTCACTGTGGGCTCCCCAAATTTACAACACGCACCTGACAAGCCATCGTTCCCGCAATTTCTCACCCGCTTGCGAAAACCGCTTGACTGATCACGCCACAGGTATCGAATTTTACCATTGGCTATCGATGTCGACATCAATAGAACGAATTTATTGATTGGCTATCGCTCTCGTTAGACATGCGCAGTAGCCTTCTTCTCCAAGACGAGGAAGAAGACGAATTATTATTTATTATTTCTCTTTCTTTCGCTTCTCCGCCATTAAGTCTAACGCTTCGCTTTCCCGCTATTTTATTTCGCTCATCGTTAACTAAACGCATTTCGCTATTTTTATAATTTAAATTGCTTAAATTAACCGCTAATATTTCGCTTCAGTTTGTTTCAGATAAATTGTGTTTATTTGCTTTTGTTTCACCGTTTTTTACAGTGCCGGCAATTTGCTCAACCACGTGCTGACCGGCTTCGCATTGATATCCACGCTGTGTTTTATAAATCCACTTTTTTCTTATCAATCCGCTATTGAATATATTAAATATTGAGTGTATTTATAGTAAATAAATCTCTAGTGATATTCTTAATAATAATTTTTGTATTTTAATTGAGATAACCAGACCGAAACCTGATCCTTAGTTTTTCCGCTCTTTCAGCATTTTACAGTCAGTGACTTATGAAGTTTTTTGCCGAAACATTCAATTTAAAAATTCTAAAAATAAATTTTTTTTTTTTTTTCAAAGAAACTTTTTGTGAGTAGAAAAAATTCAGATCAATGCAAAATACTTAAATTTTAATAGTTTCTGGAGGATTAGTTTGATAAAGTTAAATTAAATTATTGTTTAATGTGATATTTTACTGACTTTAATTTTAAAACAATTGATTGTCAGATTAAAAACTAAATTTACTGTTAAATACCTAAATTTTAATGAGTTTAGTAATATTCGTTTAATGGTTAAAAATTAAAAATATGTTGTTTTCTTGTTGACTCTGATTTCACAGATTTAAATTCTGAAATTAATGATGACTAAATAAAAAGACATAATATGTACTGTTAAATAGTTTGATTTTAATAATTTTCGCAATTTTAGTCTTATCAAGTTAGATTGTGATAATTTAAAATTTTGTTTTATTGCTGACTCTCAGTTCACTTATTTGAATTTAAAAATAAATGATTATTTATTATTATTTTCGTTAATTGTAGTTTCAATACATACATATTTTGTACTTTATTTCATAAATATAATAAATAATTTACGGAGAAAAATTGATAAATTAATGATTTTATTACTATTTTGTTCGTTTTGGTGAAAACCCCATAAGTCAATCTAAATCATTAGTATCAATTGTAGTAATTAACCATTACATTTTTTCATGCTCTAATTGTAGTTTCAATACATACATATTTTGTACTTTATTTCATAAATATAATAAATAATTTACGGAGAAAAATTGATAAATTAATGATTTTATTACTATTTTGTTCGTTTTGGTGAAAACCCCATAAGTCAATCTAAATCATTATTATCAATTGTAGTAATTAACCATTACATTTTTTCATGCTCGAATCTTTTTCAGGCATGTTAAGATTATTATTATTCATCATTGATTCATGATGTTAATGCAAACTTATCCTAGAAAAATGTTTTTTGCTTCTCCTAAAAAATTTAGTATTTTTGACTTATGGGATTTCTCAAATAAACGATTCAATTTTTTTTCTAATTTTTTTTGCCATAATTTATATGTTACAAAAATGATCAAAGTTCAAATATCTGCTCAAATAATTTTCATAAGTATATTTGTTATGAATTTCGCTATAAAAAAAATGATACTGAATTTAGCAGAAATCTAAAAATTTTTTAGATTTTTATAATAATGACATTACAATGAATAAAATTTAGCAAACAAATTTCGCAAGTAGAAATTTAATAAAATTATAAGTGCGAATTTTTTAAAATATTTTATTTATAATAATTGATCTGTTATAAAAATTTCAAGAATTGTGAGATGTCTGCTAATTTCAATACCATGTGAAAAAATGAAAATTAAGTTAGTCGACATCTAATAATTTTTAGAATTTTTTTTTATTGAAAAAATTATTACAAAAAAATAAATTTCATTTGTAAAAAACTTGAAAAACTATAAGTGCAATTTTTAAAACTTTCTATCAATTGTTTTATTTATCACAAATTAGATATACTTATATATAAATACATTAGAAATAAACTTTTTATTTTTATTTTTTTTTTTGGTTCTAATTTAATTAATGAAAAAAAAATTAAAAACGTCTGCTAACTTTAGTATTACGTGAAAAAAGGTACCTTTGTATCAGTAATTCGTTTGTAGTTTTGCAAAGAATCCCAAGCAGCTATTTTACGATCTTTTTCACCACCGGAAAGCAAAGTACCCTCGGAAAGCATCACCAAAGAACTGATGCCCTTGTTGTGTGCTTCAAATTCCATTCGAACAAAATAGGCACCATCGGCATCAACTGAATAAATCGTTATAAAACCGTCGCTGTCAGCTGTTACGACGTCACCGTCTTGCTCAAATTGGATACTTGTAACGTGAGTTCTTGATGGCTAAACAAACATTTCTTATTTATTTACCAGGATTTAAAAAAAAATATATATGTACATAATCATTTGTACATAGGTCTGATATTTGGTTTTTTTTACATTATTTAAAAAAAAAAATAGTTTTTTAAACTGAGTAAATACTTACTGGTTTTATGATATCAGTTCTTTCGAAAAATCCGTCCTTACGGCGATTCCAAAATGTCAAGTGGCCTCGACCGTGAGTGATTAAAAGATTGTCATCTAAGGGATGGAATGCTGCACCTGTTAGATCTTCTTGTAAAGTCTGAAAGATTAAAATTAAAAATAATCATTTAATAGTTAGTAAAGAAATTAAAAATAAATTTTTAATAGTAGATTTAATGAAGATAAAATTGTAATAATTACCGCAACTTTTCCAAGAAGATGACCCCACTGCCATTGCCAAACAGATAATATAGCTTCTCTTCCAGAGTCGACGACAAGAACATAACTTCCTCCGTTCTGTTTATTTAATAATATATTGATTAGTAAGTTTTAAATAATAAATTTAATTAAATTAAGTAAAAGACCCAGGTCAAGAAAAAATTGTATTTTCATTATTTGATTTAATAAAAATTATAAACTTCCAGAAAAGTTGTAATGAGGAGAAATAAATAATTTTTTCAAAAAATTAGACTTTAAAAAAAATATTAGTAAATTTTTTTAAATTAATAATTTAATAATTAATAAACAAAAAAAAATTCCTCATTTTTATGAAAAATCTAACTGAAATTATTTTTTTATATTTTATTACAAATCAATGATAAAAGAAAAATTTGTAAAAAATTTGCACTTGTAATTTTTTTTAATTTTTAGATGTAGAATTTTTTTATTTAAATTTTTCATAATAATTTAGTTATTTTAAAAATCTAAAAAATTGACAGATATTTGTTAATTTCAGTATCATAAGTCTACTACTGAGAAGAAATAAACCCTATTTCTTCAAAATAATTAGACATCGAAAAAAATATTATTACATTTTTTGCAAATAATTGTTTATTAAAATCTAAAAATAGGACAAAGAATAAACTTGCATTGTTTCTAGAACTAGGTCTTTTAGCTCTATTTAAAACCAAGAAAACGGTAATTATTTACGAGTGGGGTCAACCCATGCTGGGGCATGTTAAATTTTTTTTTTTTTTTAAATTAAATTGATCTATTTTTTTTAAATTGTTCGTTTTTTTTATGTATTTTTATATACTTTAAGAAAAAAATTAGGAAGACGGTTGACCCTAAAGGCCATCCCTGTAACTTCCCGCTAAGTCCATACCTAAACGATTAAAATTACACTGATTTTGTTTTTGAGCTTTTCAAGATAATCTTAAATTTTTTTTCAACAAATCTTATTGTAGTTTACCGTAAATTTTACTAGGTTATCCATAAATTTTATCTAGTCTACAATAAACTGAATTAGGGCTATACACTTAAACCGGTTAAAAAAGTTAACCAGGTTAACTAATTAGCTAACCATCAACTTAGCCGGTTAACTTAAATTAGCTAAGCTAATAAGCTAATTTTTTAACCGGCTAAAAAGTTAAATTAATTTTCAAAATAGATATATGTATGGGACATTCTATGCCAAATCGACCACTTTTGACCCCGACCCTTTTCGATTTTTCTGAAATTTTTGTGGTTTTCTCTGGTTATACGACACCTTGTCTACTGACACTTTATCCGCGACATTAAATCCGCGACATAATATCCTCAAGCAACAATATCTGTGACGTTATATCATCATCATCATCATCATCATCATCATCATCATCAGCAACATCGTCATCATCAATATCAACATCATCATCATCATCATCATCACATTCATATATAACGTCATTAACTATTTATTAATTTTCCGACCGTGATAATTATAATTATTTTTAAACCCGTTCCTGCCATTACGGTCATTTTTTGCTAGTATAATTCTAATTCAAGTGGATGGTAATATTCCATCATCACTAATAATTTGGGACAAATCGTCCCTTGGAGAGTTAGTCGATGGGGTAACAGGAAACAGCTGTTGGCTATGTTAAAAACCACTGCAGCCGCCTGGACTCATGGATCACCAGTTGATCAAAATCATGTAGAGCAGTTGGTCGTAGTGGCCAATACTCATTTACACTGGGACCCGAAATATCCGGATGTTAAAACCATCCAATCCATGATGTTGACCAGAGAGATCGTCTCCATGGTAGAAAGCGTGAGGAGCTCTTTCAGTGAAAGAACTCTTCAGTTCTCAGACATCAAGGTGCTGCTCTGCGGTGATTTCAATTCACTGATGGATTCTGGTAAGTCTCTAAGCTTGGCCAATTATTATTGATAGCAATTATTATGTTCAATTATTAACATTTAATATTTTAACAGGGGTATTCCAGTTCCTGTCAACGGGTCAACTGCCGCTGAGTCACTCTGAGTTCCAGGGTTTTGATTACATCAACGCGATTGTAACCATGATGAGTGGAGAATGTTGTTCCAAAATTACCCACCCGCTCAAGCTGTCATCGGCATGCAGTCCGCAAATCATGCCGTGTACAAACTACACGTACGAATTCAAGGCGATGATCGACTACATGTTTTATTCTTCTTCTAACATGGTGTGTCTCGGAGTCTACGGCTCCATTCTGCAAGAATGGTTTGATATATTTAGCGTAGTGGGCTGTCCGCACCCTTTAGTTCCATCTGGTATGTATAATTCTGTTTCTTAGTTTTATAATTCACATTTTGAAAGCCTAGAAATTTTTTGCTTATACTTTTTATTTTTCTTTTAGATCATTTCCCGGTGATAGCGGCTTTTCAAATGACTGCTTGAATAGATTTGATGGAGGAGTTACTCGGTCGACTTTATGGATGGAATAATCAAGTACGGCGGAAAATTGACTGTGATTGTACAAAAATATTAATTTTATGTAATATGTCTAAATTGTTTTATGTAAATGTTGTTATTTATGATATTAATTAAGTAAAATAAAAAATATTTTTTTAAAATATACATGAAAATTTGAAATAAAAAAATTTAATAAAATATTTAAACTTGTCTTATTCTTTTGATCTTTAAAAATTTGGTATTGCATAATATATTTTTTAATTATTAATTATAATTAAAAAATAATCAATACTGTTATACTTTGAACTGATAATTGAAAAAAAATTTTTTTGTACTTTAAAAATTATTTTTTGCAATCTTATCTATTATTATTTATAATATAATTAATATTTGATCGTTTAATTTATTTTTGTTATAAAATATATAAGAATCGAAAGTATTACTCATTATTATTTAATTTTTTTAATGTAAATCAAAAATTATGAAATATCATTTAAATATAAAACGTTATAACAAAAATATTATAAAATTGTTGATACAAGTGGGTGAAAACCGGCTTTTTTTTTGTTTTTTTTTTTTTTTATCGTTGCGCGCCCACCCAGTCCTACTATGTGTATTATTATATTCAATCATCTAATGCAAAAAAAAAACCAGTTTGAATAAAACACTATTTTTTGAATTTTCAAACCGCAATAACTTTTAGAGAATGAACCGATTTTCTCGCAGTCGGCGGAATTCGACGCAGTTTCTTAATTTAAGCCTCATAAAGAATCTTCAAGTTTCAATTGATCGAACTAGGAATTTCGAAGTAATTCTAAAAAAAAAAAATCCTTTTTTCGTTTTTCTTTCGACAACGATAACTCGGTAACATGTCAATATGACCGAGGTCATTATATCCGCGACTCTATATCTTCGGGACTTAATATCCATGGCATTATATCCGCGACATGATATCCATGCAATATTATATTCCTATTACTATAATTTAATTCTATGCATAATTTGACTATTTATTACCTGTACCTAACTATTTATAGTAAATTTAAATTTCTTAGAATATTTTCAAACGGGGTCCAGGGTTGGAGCTCCGGTGGGGGTTGGAAGGCGAAGCCCCCTAATTGAAAAATTAATGACTTTATATCTAAATGTTAAGATGATGATGATGATGATAATGATGATGATGATGTTAATGATGATGATGATAATGGTGATGATGATGATGATGATGATGATGATGGTGATGATGGTAATGATGGTGATGATGATGATGATGGTGATGATGACAATGATGATGATGATGATGATATTGATGATGATGACGATGACGATGATGATGAAGATGTTGAGGACGATGAAGATGATGATGGTGAGGATATAACGTCACAGATATTGTGGCTTGAGGATATTGTGTCGCGGATATAGTGTCAGTGGACAAGGTGTTATATAATTAAATTGTATTCGAAATATAAGTTTGATCAAGCTCTTTTGAATGGCGCCAACTGCGATGAAATCGGTCGAGCCTTTCAAAAGTTATAAGAGATTTACATGCGGCCACACACCCATACACACACACATACATACAGACATACGGACATCATCGCGGAAACATTCGGGGAAGCTTCCTAGAACCCCAAAACCTTAACACCCGTTGGAAACTCGATTTTCGAAAAACGGGGTAAAACCAATAACTTCCCAACATTTGAAAGTTTTCAATTTTCTTAGCAGGAATTAAAAAATATATCAAAAACATCAAAAAACAATAAAATAGAAATTCTATCCAAAAACATGGATGCCAGTTTTTTTCCAAGTTTTGAAGGCAAAAAAGCTCTAGAAATCTTTATTTTTTCCTATCACTTTTTTATCATAAATCCACCGCAAAAACATGCAGAATAAAAAAAAATTGAAAAATGATAATTTTTCACCTAGTTAAAGCCCAAAATGGGGTTGACTCCACTCGTAAATAATAACCAAAAAAAACTTACAAGTTGAGAAAATGCAAGAGCAGATACGCCCATTTGGAATTCAGTCATCCCAAAAACATAAAGCGTAAGAAGAGTTTCCGTCGACCAAATACGAACATGCGGCTGTGCTTTACGATGTCTTCCAGCTCGCTGTCCCGAAGCGACAAGTTCCCTGCTCGGATGAATCTCCATGCAAGTAATATCTTCCGTATGACCAATATAATGGCGCTGTGTATTTTCTTCTCGATCAAACAGCACAGCAACTGCTGCGACGTAGTATAATAGTTCTCCACTTGGCAAAACCCACAAATTTCTCCGAGTGTCAGTGCCTCGGTAGCCGTACACCCACTCGAGTTGGAGTTTCTTGTCCGGCGGCGAATTGTCAACTAGTGGCAAATGTGATGGGGGATAAAACGATCTTCTTAGTCCTCTTATTGTGACACGAGCTGGCTCTTCTCTCAGTACTTCAACGACACTATAGTCTTCAGTAAAAGGTATATTTATTTATTTATTTTAAAAAATTTTCAAGTTAAATCTAATTATTAATAATTTCTTACCATTAACCCTTACAACTTCAGAATCAGCGGCATAGAGCGCACGTGGACGACTTTTACTACGTGCTCGTCGTTGTCTAACGACTTCTTCACTAGCTCCGGTCATTTGTAATGTTGGCGGTCCACGTGATCGCGATCTACGAGCTGGAGATGAAGTAACCATTGATGCACCGCTGATACCCATCGATGCACCAGTTCCCAGGTAAAATGTGTCCACATCGGCAAATTCATTTCTTAATTGTGAAAAGCTGCGGACCTAAAAATTATAGTGGAACTGTTAGTCTTGAGTTCAAAACATTTAATTTTACATGTATTAGATATATTTTTAAAATTTCGAAATTTGAGCCCACTATTCTATACTATAAAGAATTAGGCTGATTAAAACTTAATGCTAGAAGAGATTATTTCATAGCTTATTTATTTTACAAAGAAATCAAACTAAATTATAATCAATTATTCAGATCAAAATTAGAATTTCTGCCGATTGCATTAAGGAGAGGCGATGTCAGGCATGACTATCTGCGCTTACCAAGAAGTAACTCTTTTATTTATGAAAACTCTTTCCTGATTCATGATATAAAAATTTGGAATTCATTACCGGCTGATATTACAGTAATTGACAACTTCGAATATTTTAAACATGCTTGTTTTAACTTATTCTTACAATCAAAGTAATTATCATAAATCCTGTGGTTTAATATGTTAGTGTTATTAATTAGTATCGGTCTTTCAAATTGTACTGCGAACACTGTATTAAACGAGTACTTGTAAATTATTAACTTTATGTATTGTTGATGGTCTTGAAGGAGCTTAGAACTCCAGGACCAAATAATAGTATATTACACTATCAGGGCAGAAAGTTTGAAATTCCTGCACTGCGCGCCATGATGCCCAAGGCGAAGCCGAGGGCATCATGGCGCGCAGTTCAGGGCTTTCAAACTTCTGCCCGTGTAGTGTATACTATTTTTCTTTATAGCCGGTCGAAAGTACGAAAAATATTGTGTATATTATATCAAAAGAAGTTGATGCCTGCCCCCGACATTCGCGGCACGAGCGAAGCGAGTGCTGCTGGTCGG